TGGAATGCATATGAGATGATCAACGAGATGATCAGCGAGTGAATTCCAATATCAATGGAGAAAAGAAAAAAATTCGATTCCCTTCAGCGAATAGTCGAAATTGAAAAAAATTGAGTGTACAGACTCGAATGAATATCAAAAAATGTAATCAGTCGTACAATCATTATAACTTGATTGAAAGTGATTTAAGCCATCATGGTGGCTAAAGATCGATGGACAGGTGGGGTGTTTGTTTTCGTCATCAAACCGATGATTGTCGAAATAGCATTGCGAACATAAAACTATAAACAGTTTCTGATTAGGCTTGAATATGGCAACCCGTACAGGAATGAGAAAATAGCTATATCTCCTCATCTAATCATAATGGCTCGGCAAAATATACAATATTCTGAAAGTAGAGATTCTGAACAATCGTGTGGTGCAAAGAAATTCATATGTTACCGAACAAACCTGAGAGTATCGGTACCTTGAAGATCGTAACGGCTACAGTGCTATATTAAAGTACACAATTGATCATAGTGGTACAATGTATTTGAATGAGTGCCTCCGCGTCAAAATATATGTTTTTCAGAATCTAGAGATTACGTTGGATCGTCTGGTGTACAAATATTCATATGTTATCGGGCAAACTTGAGGGTTTCGGTAGCTTGAAGATGNAATTATATGATATTCTGAATCTAGAGGATCTGAGGAATCTGACGGTGTAAAGAAATTCAAATGTTACTCGGAAAACTTGAGGGTGCAGGTAGCTTGAAGATGGCAAACTCTGTAATGCTATATTAATGTATGCAGTGATCTATAGTGATATGTTTCTAAATAGTGTGGGAAAGCTTAAATGTGTATTCCAGGTGGCCTTGTAGTCGTGGACAAAGCTCACTGTTTTTTCTGATTTTTTCACTTCTTTGTGTCTTTGTTGCCCTTTCGTTGAAAGTGCATTTGACGAAAATTTTGTAAGTGGGCGTGGCCTAAATGCGAGCTAGGCGTTCTACCGTAATTTGTGGGCGTGGCTTAGTTACCGTAGTCACCAGCCTCCTGAGGTACTACTATCTTGATTCAAATGGCCAAGGATCTGGCTGAAACAGTTGCGTGTCGCATAGATGAGGTTAACATATATATTGTCGAGGGATCTTGTATAGTTGGGGAGAGGCTTAGGCTTTTGAGGAGAAAAAGAATTTTCAGCAGAGTTGATATATCTTCAGAAATCTAAGCCTAAGCTGAGCTGAAACCTCTCCTCAAGTAAACAAGATCCCTCGACAATACATATAATATATATTCCTCTGGAAGCTCAGAATTTCCTGTTCACATCGCAGTATCTCCGAACATCTTCAAAGGTTACAGCGAGTGATATTCATTGTATCAATAAACTAATTTCATCCTAATCTCAAAGATTTATTCGCTCATTTATTCACTTTCAATAGATCACTATCAAAACCAACTGCACATATACAAAGCATATATACACAAAAGTGGATCGTCAGAACACATTGAAATATTCTCAACACACAATTGACTGCAAACGTGATCAAATTATGTTCTTGATACAGGTTACAATAACGGCTTATTCATTTCCTTATGAAATCCAAACAAACCGTTATACGATGCACATAAAACATGGACTGGCCCAATAAACAAGATCACCATTTTCACTATATTTATTAATATCACTTACAAATTCCATGATTACAGTGACTATTCCAATGATATTTTATATTGTTATCATCATTTTCATCAATATCATTATTATCAACATGGTCATGTTCAGTTTTGTCCATTATCACTCCATTCCAGCTCCTTTCAAATTCTTTCCAATCACCGTATCGACAACCGAATCAATAACCAACTGCACCTGATTAGTATCAGTCGCACACGTTTCATGAATGTATATCTTCTTACCTGAAAAGGAACATACAAATGCAAAATTTTGCGTACGACTATGTTCCAAAATGCTGAGATTTTGATCGAAGTTGATAACGACTAGTGTTGGAAACCGCAAGATTTTTCTCGGTGCTCATCGACCGAGAGCCCTGTCGGTGATTACTGCAACACGATATTCACTGACTGCCTAATTTTGAGCATCGGTCGGTTGCCGATCGGTTGTAACCGCCTGGCGGTTTGCCACCGCCACCGACCGAGCAGATCTGTCGGTTGCGGTCTGTGGTCACCGACCCAACACTAATAACGACATGATCATAACATCAACAAAAACAACGCTCTCCTCACGAAGAAAATGTATGTCTCATCAAATAGGATACCGTGTTTATTCTCGTTCAACCGGTTGAATCGTTTCTTCACATATGCAACCGAAGACTCATAGGAGTTATCACCTGAAATTTGATTCGCTCAATGTACATCAGAATATTCAATCGTGTTATCGATGTTACTCCAGTCAAACGATGCACAATGAGGGTAAAGAGGTAATCATGAGATCAGCTGAGGATTAAACTGATGAAGTCAAAAGCACTGAGATTCTCCAGAAGAATAAGAAATAGCTCACAATTACACCTGATAAGAGAACGCTTGATTTATTTTATTTGAACTGTGAATTGATCGTATGATACAATTTGCTTGGTAGTGATCATTCGGCACGCTCTCACTTACCATCATAACTTTCGAAGAGAACTTTTATTGGGACGATACGAATTTTTTCGATGAACAAATCTTTTTTGTTCAGAAATAATATCATTGATGCCTTCAGAAACCATTTACTATTACAAATTTGAGCAAACAAATCCATTGATTCCATTAAACGGTTCTGAAATTGCCAAAAAAATAATGATGATTCAAATTGAAGTATCATTCTGAAAAGCTGAAAATTTGGAATAAATTCGCGATGTCAAAAATTTCTCGTAAACTGAATGCAAATTGCACAGTTTCTCGCAACGCTTTAGAAGAGATACTCAAAATTAACCCAAAAACACGAAAATAATTCAAGAAAACAGCTCCAGACCAGATGAAAAATTGCCATTTTCATACCGTTTTTCGATCCTCGGCTAACACTTGATTGTACTCGTTGATCGCAGATATGAAAATGATTGCGTTCACGTCGTCGAATAAATGAATCCATTTCCGTCGTTCTGATCGCTGTCCGCCAACATCGAAAACCCTTCAAAAGCCACATTCATCTAGAGAAATGAACAATACAACAGCAAAAACACACTTCGCAATTGGATCGTTGCAATAACGATCAATCAATAAGCTCTGAAGATCTGTCAGAAAAATTTGCAACCTCCGTAGTGTAACCAAGTCAAGTATCTCATTCTTAAAACATAAAATCTAAATCCAAAGAATTTGAAATATAACCGAAACAAAGCACTTAATATCTTTAATTCAAATCTTACAATCAAAAGATTGCCACGAGCAATGGCTAAACGACAACAAAATGTTATGTGAAAGTGAATTCAATGAAGTACAGGATNGAAAATGGGAAACAGAGGACGAAATTTGGTATGCAAATGAAAAAAAGTGAAAAAAAGATCACCTGAAAACGCATCCTTTAATAGTGAATTGCACCTGGACAACGCCAGCGGTCGGTACACGGGTGTGGAGAATATCCTGGACAGTTGGACGATAATTAGGCGCGTAGATCCGATCCAAGTGTTCCATAAAACTGAGCAAAAATACAATAAAACAAAATTAAAATGCCCATCAATACAATATGTCATTATCAGATAGCTCAGAATAAAGTATTCTTAGCGATTCGGTTTGATTTTTCTTCTTAAATGACAATTTCATGAAGTTGGATATCAAATAAAATCGATTAACTCAATGAAGAAGCTATGATCATCAACGTAATTCAGAAGTCAACTCACCGTAGGCCAGCTTAAATTTGCTGATTCTCTGATTCTGTTCTGAATATGAAAACGAACAAGCTCTACAATGCTAATTACACAGCAAACAATCTCTTATTTCTCAGTCATCAGTGAATAGTGTGATGATTCTTACAGAAATGCTATCGATGAATGAAAAAATACACCTTTCATCACGGAAAAAATACCAGTTAAGCTTTACCAATGAATTACTATTACAATTAAACCTGATGAGGGCAGCAAATGAAGTGGAACAACAATAAGTGATTTCGATTGAGAATTTGCACGAAATTGTTCATTAGACTGTGATTGTGTGAATAATAAAAACTGACTATGCAACAGAGTCTCCCATTTGATATTCGGAACGTCTGGTGAAAGCTTTTTGCACCGATCTATCATTCCATAAATCTGAAATATTTTTCCATCCTTCGAATGTTTCATTCAAAACCAAATTTGACCAAAAACCAACACTCATAACAACTCAGCTAATAATGATATTGATAAGAACCACTACGATTCGGAAGATAGCAACGAGCAGATTACTAAAAGTATCGATATCGCTGTGGACAACTTTAACATGAATGATAACAAGGGTAACGAGAAATCGCTCGTGCTTATCATTTTGATCTGATGAGAATTGATCGATCTGAACGAATGCCTACTTTTCAATGCATCATAAATGTCCGGTGTTAACGGTTGTGAATCTTTTCCACAATCAACCAATGATAATATCCTCTTCGCGTCCATCTGCAAACAATTTTTTTTCGCATCTCACAAACAATCTCTCCAAATCCAAAATTTCATCTCAATCATGCCAATCATTCCAGTTCAACGCCTCCGATGATCACTCGCTATGCTCATGATAATTTCCAGCTGAGATCAGTTGCTTCTGTTGACAGTTTTCCTCTACTATCGTCCAGTTGTTCATCAGATAATTTCTCACAACAGTATTTTTTGAAATAACCGCAGGAGTATCACTCGGAAAATAGCACTGAAGAGCAAGCACACGAATTCGTGCAAAAGTAGAACCTCACGTTCTGCCAACTCCAAGCAATAGCCAAGTTGTGGTAAAGCCCTCAACAGATTACTCATACCAGTTATAGTGTTACTATAAATAATCGCACGTTTGTCATCAATTTCGGCTTCAGTGAAACCATTCTTGTGCAGTATCCTGTAAGAAATTAGTTATCATGTCGTCATGAAACCTCAATTTGTATGCGAGTATTGTATGGGAGTAACTGAAAGAGATAAGATAACTGAAGTCGTTCACTGCTTCGGAATTTAATGTTGAGTCATCGCTTAGGCAAAACATCGCTGCTTGAAGATAATTCATTCATAAACTACTGAAAAAAAAGGAAACAAGTATGGAATGAATCATTGTTACATATAGAATGTCATTATGATTTCATTGCCGTCGAACGAACCAAATCTAAAGTCAGTTAATTAGATAAACTTACTGCATTTGTTTCAGAACAGTACTTTTCCCGCATTCGCCTGTTCCTGCAAAATATTCTCAATNATTGCGAGTCGTTTAGATACGACAGGTCTTGCGCCTATATTGTCTTGTGCTTGTATAAACTATGATGCCATACAAAATGATACCATCGTTTGAAAAAATATGAATTGTTCGGATTGATTGGAACTTTAATAACTGAAGTATTCGTGTGAAATCAATCATATGTTTACTTCAACCTATTATAGAGTGATATGCTTAAAGAATTCTTAATGTACTTCATGAAGGCACACTTCCCAAGTTGATTTTACCTATCCATTACCTATCGATTTCTTCAATTATTTCAATTGTTCGTCAAAATCTATCAATGAATTTCTAATTAGACTATAAATTATGAGAGCGGATTAAAATAAATACAGTGAAATTTGTAGGAAGTAATAATCAGATCTGCATTGGAATTTCTCGCGATGATAGAGTTTGATCGAGCAATCTGAGACTTCGGTGTTTGGAAAATTCGAGTCTTCCGATATTGGTGGTAAATGAGTAAATATCTCGAAGTATGAGTAAACTCTTGAGTTTCTATGGTATTTTTTCATGATCCGATACTCGAAACCAAACGTTATGTGCAACGATGATGGTTATTTGAGGCTGAAATTGTTGAGCAATTGAGGAATTCATTAAGCCCACGCTCGTCACAAACAAAAAACTTCAATCAACGGAAATGACGACGGGCAATGAAAAAATCACATCACGCTCCATCAGTACAACGGAAGACTTCAACAATTTACACTCTTTTATTTAACGCATAATCATCCGTTCTGCAATAAGCCATTCTGTTCAATCCCTCTCATTAAATGACTACCCATTTCGTGCTTAATAAGCATCAAATTTGAACCGCATTCAGGCGTGCAACAAATAGTTCGACAAAGAATTTATGCAGAAACAAACCGAGCAATAAAAGTTTCTGATTGCCGAGTTCATCCTTACGCTCCTTGTTCAGTTTTCGTTCAATTTGTTTGTTGAGGTTGGTTTGTGTTTGTAGTTCAGGTGTAGTGCAAACGGCACCCATCAGAAGAACTTCTCTAGTATCTCGTCGACAGCAACCAATAATTGCTCATTTAGACGCATTAAAGCATGCGTTAGATGAAAATTGCATTGCAACAAGGCGACGATCAGTTCACTGAAAAAATTGAAACAATATCACAAAATTGAAAGAATATCTTGAAAACGAAGTTCTACTCTTCACTTTTACTGATCACTATAGAATCAGTCACAAAGACCGAACTTCAACGCCAGTATGTCTCCTGAGCTGCGGAACTATCTAAAAGTCGATATCGTTTGAAAAGGATGAATCAAAGTATTATCTGATGAATGAAAGTATATCTCAATAACGCACCAGCAAACATGTTTATCACCAAATCACATACATACACACTGTTAATGAATGTTCTCCACTACATCAGTGATCAGTTATTAGTATTGTTATTCTCATTTATACACCTATCGATTCGCTCACTCTTCCGCTCAAGTATTTCACTACTCGTTCACTCTTCCGCTCAAGTACGATTACATTATTTTGCAGTCGAATGCGCTCAGCGGCAAACATAATGCCAGTTTCAACAGAACAATATGCACTTATAAATATGATCGAATCGAGAGCGACTAGCTAAATTACCTGACAACGAGTAAAATTTTCATTATGAGAACGATTTCTTTGTATTTTTTCCACCAAGTTGAGATTACACATGAGTAAAATTTCTCAAAAAGTTAAAATTTACAAATCTAAGTTCAAATTTCTCAAGAAGAATAAAAACTTGCAAAATTATAATATCTCTGTAATTCTCTTACCAATCAAACAAATGTTCAAGTATCACGTATCAACAACTGTCACTATTCACTAATTGAAATACGCAATCAAGAAACGAAATTATTGTAAATTCTCAATTGATTTCGATCGAAAATGAGCGCAACCAGATGATACCATGAATGATTATGACCAATGACTGATACTCATGAAATAGCGTTTGGAATCATCTGTCTTCATGAAATTCTATCTCCGAATTTCATGAGACAGATCATTCCAAACGCTATTATTGTTAGCTACGCGGAAAGAAGAATGCCAAGGAAGGATGAATGTGATATTAGTGATATTGGTGATAACAGAGAGGCATAAACTCGTAATGAGTTTGATTTGCTGATTAAATAAAAGACTGATATACAACAGATGCATTGATATTCAAACAACCTATCCACTTCTCCATATCAATTATTCAAATCTGAAAGGCAAGTTCTATTTTGGTGCTGAAAAGTACATACATTAAAAAATGCCATACTCTTTTGAATATGTTCTACTGAAGGAGTTCTGTTGGTATTCGAGAAAGCTAGTAAGACACATCCAAGCCCAGTTAAAGTTGAGAAATGAGTTTACCGGGAAGGATTCCAATCTATCATGAATTTGAAAACACGTATGAGATCAATATAAATCATTGTTTACTGAAGAGATTCTATCATTTGCGCAATTACTATGCGACTTCTCTTTGAAGATACTTTGTTCAAATGGGCACCTATTTTGACAACAGAATTTTTGAAGGAGACATTCTTCTTGAAAAAGATACCTTTTCGTCATGAAAAGAAATGCATGCATAGTGAGGAAAATTTTTGGTGACTTATAAAATATTTAGAGCATAGAATTTAAAACATCACTGGTAATCGAAATGCTAATACCATCAAACGATTGTTGAAGACGGAAGAGGGTGGAAGTTTTAGTTCAGGATGTGAATCCATCATGAATGGAAAGGATGCGAATCTTCTCTTAATACAATAGGAATTGATTCTGGCCAAATACGAGCAAACTATTCGAAGGAGGATGTAAAATAAGCGACACTTAATGAATATTGCACTCATTGAGTGAGAACTCAACAAAAAAATTGTTGCCTACAAGTTATTATCAGTTGATGTTCTAGGCTGATTAAAAGTACATACTTCATGATCAAATGAATGCACATTAACAAGTGAAAATGCTGACGAACAGTTAATAAGACGTTATTGTGCATCTGAGCAAGAAATTTATGCAGTGTTCGAGTAGTGGAAGATATGCGAATAAAAATGGGTGAGTGAATGGCGAGTAACTAGGATAGAAATATTGTACAATTGTGAAAGTACTATGAGTGAATTTAATTAACCTAACGTGACTTTGACACTTCATAGGTTTTATGAGTGTGTAGAGTATAAACATATCAAAATTGTTATCATGTTAATTATGACATTCAATGAATACTTTCGAATAGCATCCATACGTCGCTATGACAACTGCACGAAAAATGATTACTCGATAGTTAATTTCTCGATGGTCACAGAAGTCATTCTACAATTGAACAACAATCGAAAACACCTTCACACAAAACAATAGACTCATTCAAACGTTCAAATTGCATTCATTAATCTATCGTCAACACGAAAGTAATCAAATGTGCTAAGCTCAAGTTAAACTTGTAGTGAGTTTCATAGAAAACTTGATCAATTTGAAAAATGTTTTGAGTTGAAGAATTTTTTGGTGGAATTTGAAGAAGTTCATTGCATCAGTATGGTTCAGCTTGTGTCTCATAGATTGTTGCCATCTTAAAACAACAATAATGTACCGGAGGTTAAGCGCTATCGTTAGAAACGGAATAAACAGGAGATTCGGGGAGATAAATTCGTTAACTGCTACTCGTTCAATCGAACATATTGCGAATAAAATGTGGGCAGTTTTGCGCGGATTTCAATCGATTCAGAGGGGAGTTTTCGAGCATTTCATTCTCTTCCTCATGCATTTCATTAACGAGTCACTTGTAGTCGCTGAATCGTCGTCAACCGAGTTAATTAACTCATTTGTGAACATTTAATAAAAATCACCAACAAAATGGCTGGATCTCTGAGAGAGTTAGATCGTTTGAAGCAATCGAATGGAATTGCGACAAAAATGATTGTCTGGACTCTCGAAAAAGTTGAATGGCTAAAATGAGAGTTGAATAAATGATTGACGAGATTCTTGAACGAATGTCACATAGACGATTACATTGGCATGCGATAGCATGATATGCATAAAAGTAAGTTTAATTATTAAAGGTATTTCCGCAAACGAACGTACCTTTCATAGGATATAAATGTCACTATTCTGAGTAGCAAAGCGAATGTCCTTTGTTCATTACGAACGGCAGGCACAATTGAGCATAACGATATGATTAACACGAATTCAAACTAAATCCGTTCAGGTGCTCCGATTTCAGCAATGTATCATTATATCATTACAGCGAAAGCGTTTCATCGCTAAATTGACATCAATTCATCACTCCATCACTCCGGAAACAGCAAATTCAACGCGATAACTTCCTCGCATTACTTCCGCTAATTGATTCAGTATGACGCATAATCAACGATCATAAAGCTGTCATCGATTTTGCAATCGACTTTAAGATTATGGTGACTTTATTTGTTTCGCAACCGATTTTCGACAATCGCGTAAAACATTCCAATCAAATAGCGATTGATTGAGAACCTCTAAAAGTCAGCAAATCCATGAAATCAGACTCGATTAAAGTTTCATCACGAACTCTTTCAATTACACATATTTGTTGG